TAGTTGAGCGCGGTCTAGCGCAGCTGCCATCAACAACTCGATGATTTCTTGATCGGGATCTATGGGATTACTTTCTTCAGATGAAGAAGATTCAAGAAGGAAATCTAAATCACTCGAAGATGCCGAGGAATCCGACATGTGCTCTGATTCATGTGGCGGGCGCGTTTTTTCAAAAAAGAAGCGCCCGGGCGCGCCCAGGGGGGGTCGGGCGCGCCCAGTTTTTGGCTGAGGACGCGAACGGGCGCAAGAGCCGTGTTTTTTTTTCAAATAAGTGGCAACTAAAAAAAACCTTCGATATCGATTGCCTGGGTTAAAACAACTACTCATCACAAAGGTCCTCCGCACTCCAGGAATCTCCATCGCTTTCTTCATCTGTGTCTTCTGTACGTAACTGAACAATATTACCAGCTGTCTGAGTAGCAAAATTATTGAAATTGAAGAGGGTATCAATGAAACCAGTCTCGAGTTCAACATCTAGATCATTGTCTGCATCATGCTCATGTTGAGCAAAAATACCATCCTCAAACTCCTGAAGATCATCGACTCCTGTGAATAGTCCGGAGTTTAATTCATCATCATAAGTGAGTTCGGTGATATCTTTATCGTCCACCTTTTGAGGAGAATCCTTGGCTTGGATTTGGAGTTCGATTTGTGTGACCATCTTCAAATTTGTCACCAACATTCGATTCCGAGACTTAGTTTTTGTGGCTCCCATCTTGGTGAACACACTTTCCACGCCTGCAGCGTGTGGAACCAGTTCAAGAACTTTCATTGCAAAGTTCTTGAGCACAGTTGTGTGTGGGGTTGATGGAATACCGAGCCAGTATTTGAGGGGTACAGAAACTATAGTGTGATCGATGTCAGCTCCTGAAAAGTGGAGAACTGAAAAAAGTCCTGAAGATAAAAGGAAACATTACCTGTCCCAAACGATCGGAAAGCACCACCACTACTAAAATATTGTAGTGCTTGTGTTTTAAGATTAACTGCTTCGGTTTTTTTGTAGTTCCACTCCTTAGCAATTGATAACATGTTCTTCATCATGGTGTCGATCGGGAATGCTTGTGAGACAGCCACTTGACGATAATTGGGATTGAGAAAGAAACCAACTACGTAGATTGGCTCAGCAAAGATTTTTGCTTGTTTATGCAAGACATCGAGACAATGTGCTCGGTAAGAATGGAATCGAGGGTAGCTGGATAGATCGACCGTACGAATTTGATCGTAAACCGTCCCAATTTCCTTCCAGATATCTCCAACTGAAGTGTTAGCCCGTTCTAGTCGACCAATCGCATCAACAACCGGTCGAAGAAGCTTAACCAAGATGGAATTTGAGGTGAAGTGATCTCGATTATCAATGATTGTTCGAACATTCTTGCTGATGTCTGGAGTCGATATCGATTTATCCTTGAACATTGACATACACATCTGAAATCCTTGCTCATGTGATTCAACGGATAATGCGACCTTTGACATCGAGAACCACCGAGTCTCACAAAAGGTTCTAATACCGTGTGTTATACCCTCTTTAACACGCCATTTAAAAAGCTTGACACCCCAGAAATGTGAAGCACTGAAAAAGTTAACAAGTGTCTTGTCATTTGAAACCGTATCCTTCATATCGGGGTGTTCGACACATTTCTTGGCAACAAGATTGAAAACATGTAAACAACATGCTAAGGGAATGACATGAGAAAACTCGGATTTCACAAGTTTCTACAAGAATAAACGCAGTATGATGAGTCAAAGAGGAACATGAAAAAGCATGAGATCAAGAGATACTTACACGCAACTTGACCATAGAGCTTGGCGAATCGGTCACAATACCACCAATTTGCTCCCAGGTAACACCATGGCCATCCAGAGCTTTTTTTAGAGCAACTAGCGTGTTTTCAGATGTGTGTCGAACATCGTCCAAGTCAAGCACATCAATTTACTTTTTAACATCAGTACTACGTAGGAGCAAGACCGCATAGACACTGTTCTTTGAGCAGTCTGTCCATCCATCTAGTGAAATAGTTAGATTAGTATGCTGTTTGAGCTCGGATTTTGTGACTTTTGAGTATTGTGCATGAAGTCGAGGAAGGACAGTGTCCATCATAATGTTCCGCGAAGCCGGAGTGTAAGATACAATCGAGAGTTTTTCTTGAAAGGCACGGAAGAATTTGTTTTGGAGGAAACGGAAAGGAATATGGCCCAATATCAGAGCCTTAAGAAGATCTTCGTAAGTATCCATTGTGCTCTCTTTGGTACGAGGCACAAAGCGGCTGAAATTGCTTTGTGTGAAGTCGTGAGTTATCTTAGGACGTTTGGTGGAAAGTGCTGATGATCCGTTGGATTCCGGTGGATTGACATTGTTGATGGCATCATTTGTTGATTTGGGTCCGCGTTTCATATTGATTTCTTCGTAAGCTGAACAATCTGATATCGAGATTGATTTACAGTCTTGCGTCATGTGGCGATAAAGTTTTGCAGGTTTTCCATCCATCTCGCCATTGCAATGCTTGCACTTAGCGCGACGGCGACCATGCTTCCGTTCAACATCCGCTTTGAATCCCATCCACGTCGGGCCGCTATTAGCAGTAGGCTCAATCCATTTGGTAGGCATTGTTGAAAAGGTTGGGTTTTAGGTGGGGTTTCTTGAATACACGTGCCTGTGTATATAAAAGAAAGTTCAGAAGCAATACAATTCTCATCAAATCAAGTCTCATTCAACTAGGATTCAGATAGGGCGCGTCCCCCCCTGAATTCAGAAAAAAAGAAGCGCCCGGGCGCGCCTGCGCCAGGCGCGCCCAAGGGCGCAAAAAACGCGCCGCGCCCGCCACATGAGCTCTGATGTAACGATGTGATGACTGAGAAGAGCTGTGAGAATAACTCAGAAGATGAACAATGTGAATATCGAAAAGTTAATGAACGATGTGAATTTCGAAAAGTTAAGTTGAATTTCAAACGGTCAACAAGCTTTTCTGCTTTTGACTGCCAAACGAAATTCAACTTTTTTGTACCTTTAAGGCCCCGTTTGGTATGGCTTACAAAAATGCGCCAAAATGCATTATTTTTTAAAAATAATCTATTTTTCGCATTTTCAAAAAAACCCGTTTGGTATCACTTTTGCCCCTTTTTTACAAATGTATTTCACAGCCGATAATCTATTATTTCGATCAAAAATGTGGCATTTTGAAAGCTGCCCTGGAGCAGCTTTCAAAATTCAATAATCCATTATCAAACCCAGGACAAGCCTTCGAACTCGACCCTCGGCAGGATCAAGGCAACTTTTCTCTTGAAATTTCTGTTTCTTTTGCCGACAGCCCACTTCCACACCAAAGTCCAAAGTCATCTCTTAGCATCAACACTAGCCCTGTATTACCAAACAATACCCTGAACATTCCGTCAAGAGCTCTTCCTCTGAAGGTAGCCATTAAGCGACCACAGGTGTAGTTTGCGATTCAAACTTGGGGTTAAGTTGCTGAACTAATCAACTGCTCATCGTACACAACGAGGCCATGCGTCATCTCACTCCTTTTTACTCGATTCAAGCGTCTTATTTTATCTTTGAGTCTATGTTGTCCTCTTTTAGTTTTTTTCATCAGCATTTAAGCCTTTACTCAATGTCCAAGGGTTTCTAGACATGTTACTTTCATGCTTCATGAAGTGTTTCATACCCCCTAGTCTTTTGTATTGTATTGGAATTCTATTTTCTTGTATTTGCTGGCCCACTGTGTTTTCATTGTGCTCCAGATGTCTTCATATATCTGGTCTACTGTGCTTTAATACATTTGAGGCAATCAATCCTTTTTTCCTCCTTCCTTTGAAGTGTTTGGAGGACCAGCTCTCATTCCAGTTGAGTATGTATCTGGTCATCAAACTCGATGTTTGATGTGCTCTCTAAGGGTTGTCCACCAAGTCTTCAATAGACGACGAGTACTTGGTTGATGAATTGGTTCATCGCGAGTCGTTGGAATCGGACAGATCGGACATTAGGGGGTTTCAAGTTGACTTTTTTTACGTATTTTTACGCTACAACAACTTGCCCGTTGTTGTAAAATATGCATATTTTTTTTTGAGCGGGACACCTTTTTAGGTGTCCCGATTTGAGGATACGTTGGTTTTACGTAGATTATTTTTGCGAAAAACTTGCCCGATTTGTTAAAAATTACGCAAAAAAAAATCAAACTTGAAACCCCCTATTGTGTTGTCTTTCGAATTTTGAAAGATGGCGAATGGTACGTACCAAACGCCATCCATCAATTTCGACTTTGAAAAGCCGATTCTCGCAGTTTACCAATTTTGGAACGTGAATTCCCAAAATAATACGTTTTATAAGCCATACCAAACAGGGCCTAAGTCGACTTTTCAATAAAAGTCGACTTAAAACGAAAATCGACTTTCCGTCGCTGGAAATTTTGTACCTTTCAAAAGGTACGAACTTTTATAAGCCGTACCAAACGTGCCCTAACACTTCTTACCATAGTCTTAGCCGATGATCTACTGCAAGAAGCGATTCTAGGAAATATCAGGCGAGCCAACATTCACGGCCTTCTTGACGTGTTTTGTCGAATACCTGAAGGTACATGTCCCCTATCCAGATTGCCAACCACTGCTTCAACCTTTCTAATTCCTTTGACGATAAATTGTCCATTGTTGTAGACTCAAATGAGACTCTTGCATCTCGTAACAGAAACTCCATTGTTCTTTCAACATCTCAAAGATCTTACGTTCATCGATTGCAAGCCACTTTGATTTTGTTCCGACAGACTCACAAGTCTGATCCAAACATTGGAGTTAACACCACTAGATCAATAGGATGGTCTACAGCAAGTTGCAAGCTTTGTAACTTCTTCGCGACTTATAAGAACGGTGCTCTTTTGTCACTCAACATTCAACATATCATTATTTTTAAGGGTGATTACTGATATAGTCCAAATTTCACCCAGTGTTCGTGAACGCTCCTCTACAGGCTGTTTCTGATTTTGGAGCCATTCGGGACTGAGCCTGCAACTGTAATGTATCCAGTTTTCAAACTTACGTGAGCATCTCACATCCATTCTTCTCTATTTTATATTTTGGTCGCACGCTGGAATCTAACGATTCCACATTTTGGACGCAGTTGCCTAGACACTTCAATAGCGATCAAACCCGTCTTTGATGGTTTGAGTCGTGTGGTGATCACCTCCGGTACAAGTAGTCCACTTGACATGTACTTTAAGAAGCTCGAGTTTGAAACAGCGGTCCAATAATCATATGCTGTGACCTTGACTTGGAAATTTTTCCTCCAATTGGACATCACTCCAGGTGCTGATCAAGTCACAATCTCATCTAGATTTGAGGTCAGGAATGGTAAGGGAATTGATCTACAGCACAGACTGATCTGATTCTGATCATTGGAAATTTCAGATTCTTTGGTGGTGAGAAATTTTGGAACAGTCCTGATTGACTATTATAATATTATCCTAGATCAAACCATAGTATTCTTTCCTTTGTATCCTTACATGGAATCTATCACAACAGTATGCCATGATATGGTGAGCTGAAATACCAATTGGTCTGTGTAAATGCTGACAAGATGATGTGTGATACATATTCATAACAGGGTATCTTGGAAGAAGTGTGGATATATGAATTGATTTTTTGAGACACATGACGCAGTAGAGACAAGTATTGCATTGGAGAACTCTTGAAGAGCTTGTACAACTTGAGTGAGGATTTGGAAAGACTATGTTCTGAAAAACAGTCAACTTCATACAGTACAACAGCAAGCTCAAAATGCCAAGGTGATTACTACTCTGTGTCGCATTTATGGTCAACAAATCAACATCAACAAGATTTCCAAACATGTGCAAATTGAGCTCTGAGACCCTTGATGGAAGGAAAAGAACCAAACAACTGAATTGAATAAAAGTTCCTCAAATGTGTATACACTGGGTTCAGATGTATCTTCATCTTTGTCAGATTTGGCTGAAGAGAAGATGAGAAGAGAAGCTGAACAATAAAAACTTTCTGCATATCATAAATCAGAAAACTTGAGATGTTAAAAAGGAGAGAAGTGTAATCAAGTTATAGAAAGAGTTGAAGAATTGAATTTACAAATCAAAGAAATCAATCTAGAAGATCAAAGAATTATAAAACAACTTGATTCACATGAAGAATTTTTTGTATCTCTTCTTTCACCAAAAATTGACTTGATCATTAGTTTTTTATGGTCTTACTTTGACCATCTTAGGCGGCTAAAAACCAGATCAATTATTCTTATATCACAACAACCACACTTCTGTTTTTCTCAGTATATTATATTCTGTGCTCATCTTTGTATGCTGAGTCAGCTCAAATTTCCACAAAACAACTCTAGAAACAATCCCATAAAGCTAGCAAGATAAGGGTGTGGAAAACACACCCACTTATTCCTTTGAAACTGATTCCTCATGATTTGATCAATATATGATCAAGATAGGTTACCTTACCTTCTTGATGGCATTCTTAACATGCCCTCAAAAGCCACAAATGGGATTGGATGAACACTGATGTCATGTAAGTTTGATTGAATTTGCAAATTTGACACCATCATGAATATCTTTGTTGAAATTTTTCTCTTCTGTATGGCCAATCTTAATCATCAAGCACTAACACACAATCAAAGATAATACCTTGCATAAATCAATTTTTCAATCTCCATTCACCCTTGAGTTCAATCACTTTGATCTTGCAGAATACAGACCATCCAAAATTTTGCTATAATCAATCTTCTCATCTATCTGTTTTTCAGATTTTAGAGCAAGTCAATAACATATATACAATTTCATTTGATTTCCAACATGAGAAAATGTCATAACCACTGAGATTATTTAACATCCAGCTTTCAGTACCATCAACTCATGCAAATATTGTAAAACAAAATGTAGAGATATCTGGTGAGATCTTGAGTTAAGCAACAGGGTTTTCCTTCAATTTCAACACAATCATGTTTGAAATCATCCTTGAAGTGTAATTTCTCATCCTTCTCTTCCCTAAGTAACTATTGAATCTCCATCACAATCAAGAATGACAATAACAAAATGGCTCATTTTTGATCATCTGCAAGACATTTGGATAATGTTTCAATCAATTCAAGCTCATAGTCAAACATAGTCAATATCTCTATCAAAGTTGCTGATCATCCTATCTTAGTCATGAAACACTTGATGTACCTGTATCAAGTCAACATGCTGTAGCAGAATTGCAATCACCAAACTGGAAACCATTTGCTACAAAGTCATCTTGGTCATGAACATGCTTTGCATCCTTTCCCTACCTTTATTTGATATAGTTTCTGAATAAGCTCTTCGCTGTGCCAATTGAGAATTGCTGATCAAAGCTTCAAGTCCTGGGGAACAAAATGTAGTCTTGGCATCGATGCAAAGTAGAAACAATTTACAGTCAGGAAGCTAGAAATCAGGACATCTAAACAGTCAAACTCAAGTGAAGACATTTGAAAGGAATAGGTTGAAAGATCTATGGGACAATTAGTTTTTGATAGATATTTGTAAATGTTGGTATCACAAGCCATGTTGAATTAAATCAAAATTGGAATATTTTTTGATCCAAATCTCAGAAATCAGTATTCTGTGATTAAACCGTGGGAAGATGGCAAAAAGGGAATTCACCAATCACTGGTAAAGAAAGACAGATATAGCTGACAATTGCAATGCAAAGACTTGGTGTATAATAACCCTGAGGACTCTACTACATTGATCTGCATAGCCTAAGGAGCCACACCTAGCCTCACTATGGTTGTGTTGTCATAGACAACTATTTTTCTATGTGTATCAATTCATGACTACTCCCATGATAATAAACAAAAGAGAGCATGGTATATATGCACACCTATTTCAACTAAGAACCAAATTATGAAGTATCCAAAAAGATGAGACAAAATGAAACTTAAGGTAACCTAATATTGAAACCGTTAGGGGGTTAGGGGTTAGGCTTAGGGGGTTAGGCTTAGGGTGTTAGGCTTAGGGTGTTAGGCTTAGGGTGTTAGGCTTAGGGGGTTAGGCTTAGGGGGTTAGGCTTAGGGTGTTAGGCTTAGGGTGTTAGGCTTAGGGTGTTAGGCTTAGGGGGTTAGGCTTAGGGGTTTAGGGCTAGGGGGTTAGGCTCGGGACAAGGATATCATCACCCCTCTCCAAGGGTATGTGACATTACCCATGTACAAGATCACCATTTTTCATCCCAATGATTGTCCTCACCAAATTTTAAACTCATAGGCAGCAAGGTATCTATACACTGCCAGCATTAAATAGGTTCCCTGGTTGGAACATGACCTAGGCTGGGAATATCATTGAGAGAAGAATGGAGAATCAAATCATCTTGCACTGCACATCTGAGCCATAAAGCATACACTACATATGTGCAAACATCTGAGTAAATCCTTAGCTATCAGCTACATACAGGTCCGCTCAGTTATCTGCTCATCTAGATAAGAAAATCATGTGTAATACATGCTGTAACTTTGTTCAGATTGAGACGCACATTTCAAAATATTGACTACATATATCACAATGGCTACTCAGGAAATATTCATGGAACTGTGTAACAGTAGCAGAATGGGAATCTGATCACTAGGACCTGTATTCCCATCTGGGAACCTCTTTAATGCTGGCAGTGATACCCCTCCTTGCCTCATCCCCTTCATGTTGCTTGATGCCAGCAGCAACAATCCAACAGTCCTCCCTTGATTGCCTTGATTATTCCGTAATCAACTTAACCATATCATAAATTTTGTGAAGTGTTGTGTTACTCATAGCTTACAGTGTAATATCCATTGAGTGATGAAATAGAGTGGGCTATGTTGTCATCCAAACAATTGCCCCCAAAATGACTTTCCTACCTAAGTCATGGGTGAGCCAGTATAGGCTTCACATTCTTTGCAAATGGACTTCAGATGAGACCTATGAGTGCGGCGCCTGCCGCCCAATTTGGCTAGTAAGAATGAAAGAAGAAGGATGAAATCAAAAGTATTGAAGAAAAAGTCAAAATCATAGGCATAAGGGATTAGAAAATGGTTTTTAGGTTAATATTAATTGTTTTGAGGGTTCAAGAAGGTTAAGATGAGTAATTTAAGTATAATTTTAGTCAGCAACAACTCTAATCATGGGTAGCAATAAGAGAGGAGTGAAATTATGCAAGAAAGAAAGAAATTCAAGGATGATAAACAAGGGTACTGTGGTATTGATTCCTGTGTAGTGATGTCATTGAGGGATTTATGGCACCAAGATTTTGATAGGAATATTTTATAGTCATTTTCATGAATGGATTGATCTTAGATGATCTTATGGTAGAAGAAAATTCAACAGTAGATTTGAAAAGAGGTGAAAATGGTCAAAAATCATCAAAATTGAAGGTTTTCAGGTGATTGCATATGTCAAAACGTGTCAGATTAGGATGGGTGATAGCTTAATCAAGGCATAATGTTCCATTTCATAATGCACAACCTTTAAAGCTGTAGTAACGGAGGTTTAGTGAAAACAGTATTAAGAAATAAAGTAAATGGTGTGAATTTTGACTTTTGCACTTACATACACACATGTAGCAACATTTACATGACAAAAAGCTTATTTGATTAATCTCTACAGCTCATCCCATAAATTATTCATGACGCATCAGAAGTAGGTCACAATGGGGAAATAAATGATCAGTATCAAAAGGGTTATAAAATGAGATTTTTTATCTCTCACATTCAGAGCTGAATTATGATTAGGTGGACAGTAATATTTCAAATCCTTTATTGTATGATAAGGAACCCCTTGGTGGAATCCATTTTTAAATCCATCCAGTAAGTATTTGTATTTGTGGAATAAATCATAATCTTTCAATTTCTTTTCCCATACCGAAATATTCATCGCACATTTCACGCTAGTAGGCCAAGCCGCATTCATGGTATCCCAGTAACTATGAAAGGAGTTCGATGAATTTATCAAATCACTTGTCAAATGTATAACCTCAGTACTAACTCAAATCAAAAAGGGGTTTTCTATTTCAATCATTGAGGTTACATGTTTTAATTGAAACAAATTCTTGGATACAAATTGTACACAAAACAACTGGGAAAAGAACAAAAACTCTCTCAAAAAGGGAACAGTAAAGATCATAAGCTCACGCTTTTTCTTTTGAGGTGGATTGCCTAGGCTCATTATTGTCATTGTTTGAATGCAATCGATCACTATTACCCCAGTAATTGAATAAGTTTTCATGTTTATCAACCCGC